TATTATTATTATTATTATTATTATTATTATTATTATTATTATTATTATTATTATTATTATTATTATTATTATTATTATTATTATTATTATTATTATTATTATTATTATTATTATTATTATTATTATTATTATTATTATTATTATTATTATTATTATTATTATTATTATTATTATTATTATTATTATTATTGTTATTATTATTATTATTATTATTATTATTATTATTATTATTATTATTATTATTATTATTATTATTATTATTATTATTATTATTATTATTATTATTATTATTATTATTATTATTATTATTATTATTATTATTATTATTATTATTATTATTATTATTATTATTATTATTATTATTATTATATTATTATTATTATTATTATTATTATTATTATATTATTATTATTATTATTATTATTATTATTATTATTATTATTATTATTATTATTATTATTATTATTATTATTATTATTATTATTATTATTATTATTATTATTATTATTATTATTATTATTATTATTATTATTATTATTATTATTATTATTATTATTATTATTAAGTATTTTTAGTAGATGACCTGGTTTCTCGCCAGCAATACTAGAGAGCTGTTTCTAACTCTAAATGAACGTTTTTTCTAACGGTGCTTGATCGGGAGCAACTTTCAAATGTTCTCCCTTTTCCCCTTAAGCATTTGCTCAATGGCATATGTACAAAAATCTTATCTTGATAATTGTAGACCGTTATTAATCTTTCTTTTTTGACGTCATAGGGTTTTTTACACCAAAAATAATAAACCCTTAAGTTCGACGGCGACTTTTTTATCACAAAAAATATAGCTCTGAAAGATAATATTTTATTGAGGCATCTGACGCTATACCAACTTGGGCCATGACAGCTTCTTCATTTCACTTATTGACACTTTTTGTCCTCGTTGTGCTCTGGGTGCTCCGCACCCTGTTTAAAACTGCTCTGGGTGTTTGCGCACCCGGAGCCCCGGGGATTCGGCGCCTATGATTTCGACAACTATTAGAGATGAAAAATGGCTAAATGGAAAACTAAAGACAATTTGTTGTTAACAAATTTTTAAAATTTTTATAAAGAAGTTATGGGATATTTTTGAAAGCTACTTTGCGCACTTAATGCTAGTAGGAAAAATCAGTTTCTATTACTTTGTAACTGGATTTTTTTAAGTTTTTAAAATTTTAATGTAACCTTGTGATTGTATCACAAGATAGCTTGTCAAAAACTGAAATGTAAAAGTCATTTTGCTCTAACTTGAACCGTTTAGATTTTGTAAGCGTTCAAAAAGACCAAAATCCAACTATTTAAGTAACTATTACTCAAAATCAATTAAAAATAGAGCCATTGTACTAAAAAGGAAACTTGTTTATGACCTCTACTAGACTTTATAAATGCAATGATATACACGGTAATCTATAAACAATATATATTTTTTTGTGTAACTTTTTTAGACACCCTGTATGAGTGAAATTAATTTTAAAAATAGTAGATATAACACACCACAACATTTGTATTTAACGTTTTTTTTTTAATCGTGAACTTAGGCCTCTAGGTAGTGCGCAAATTATAAAGAAAATGTATATGTAAGTAAAATCTGGGACATACTGTATAGTAATACACACATCAAGATAAATACTTAAAAAGTTAGCACAGGCACTGGACCGATTAGAAATATATAAAAGATCTCATGTCCTTTTAAAAGGTAAAAAACAACACGTATGAACGTGTTACTAGCATAATAATTTATTTTTTGTCAATCCTAAACTTAGATGTTTAAAAATAATCCGAGACACTTACCCTGTACGGAATCACCGTGTGCGTCGAAATTTTCCTTTTTACTTTTTAGAAGTTCCAGGATTAATTTTGTTCTTCCACTAGCCATAACCTTAAAATTTACGTTTCACTTCTACTTAACCAATGTATTGGTATGGGTATTTAATTTATAGCAGATGTTATATTCGGTGGGACTCTTGGAATATTTAATATTCCATAGCAATACTAAAACAAACTGAAAGATTCTGCTATAAATGAAATAAGTTAGATTGGCGGAAAGTATTATCAACTGTAAACTAATTTTTCTACACCCACATGATATTAGCTTATCTACGCACAGATTACAAAACGAAAAAGTATGATATTGCCTTCAACTGAACGAATATATTTCATATGCATTCTAGATAGTAAGAACACTGGAAAAAAATGAAATCCGCCAATCACCGTTCATATTTTGATCAACCGACTGCTATTATTTAAGTGACAATTCTGTCAAACTAATTGTCAGTATATTTTTTAATTATTGAAATTAAACATACATTAAAATGGGTTATTCTTGTGTAGAAACGATAAAAAATAGCATTTCTGTTTTTATTTCGTCTACAATTATAAATAATTTGTTAATTTAAATAAAACTATATATGAAGTCAATTTAATTACGAGTATTAAAGCAACACAAATAAAAGAAAAGGTGGTTAGCTTTCATGCCTTCCACATTGAAGACTCGAGTATGATTCACAGTTGGGAAAAATAAAATAAACTTTTTTCTTTTTTTTTTCGTTTATTTTATTTTAAAAATTATTAAAGACATAAATTATTTTAAAATTAGTTATTTTGTCTTAATAACCTAAAATATTTTTTTTATTTGTAAATTTTCGTTAGTGAGCCGTAGAAAAAATATACTGTACAACTCGAGTGGATTGTCCACATCGCACTCAGACGATTGAGCACTCCGCCTATGGCGTCGTGCTCAAATTTCGTATTCGTGCGATATGGCTATCATATCCACTCTTGTTACACAAACTACTATTCCAACAGCCTAATTTTAATTTATTTAATACCTGCAGGATTCCAAATTACTAATACACCTAATATTTTTGAAAATTCTAAATTATACAAACAAGGTAATAAATAATGTCATTAGAATAAAAGATAGGTTTATTTGCAACACACAATCTGCACAATTACAGGCAAGCATAACTTTATATAAACTATTTAAATGGAATGCAATTCAAAGTTTTTCATTGAGTATGTTAAATTCAAATGATTGGTCCATTTTTCCGATTGACATTGGTAAAGTGAAAAACCATTTTGTCTCTTCATCTATCTCTTATATCCAACGTTTATTGTACGTTTTCATATTTATTTATTTATCAGAATAATCCAATTTTTCCTTTCAAAGGCATTTGTGGAAAACACAAATGTTTTGCTTGCTTCTTACTTCATAATATTTTTACAGTTGGGTACAAAATACATGACCATTTTGAAGTAGTCTTAGAATGGTGACACTGAAACAAAATATAAAACATACATTTGAGTTGTAAAACTTAATTATAAGTAAATAAAACAACATAACTTAAAAAATACTTTTATTTACCTTGCCTTAAAGATGTTTTTCTGGAACAATCGTCGAATTGACACAAATACTTAATTTATTAAAGTCGCAGTTCTTAATTAAACATTTTTTTTTAAATGAGCACAATTAAAACAGGTTTTATTTTTATTTAGATTGATTGTTCTATAGAGGATTAATAGTTCGTTTGGCTTGGAACAGTGTTGCCTGAATATGTTTTTGTTATGAACCAGATTTGTCTAAAAAATGTACTAGATTCCTTAAATGTACCAGACTTTTCGAATTCTATTTGCAGTGACGTCTAATTCACTGACGAGCAAAAAGGGGATCTTTATAGATTACGGACACAAATAAGGAACACAATATTTATTTTACACGTGAATACTGCTGCATGCCGAGGAAGAAAAAGTACTAGATTTTGCGTCGAGTGTCCTAGAGTACCAGATTCTTCGAGTATGTACTACATCTAGTACAATTATAAAATGTACTAAATTGGCAATGGTTTGGCAAGATTATTTTCTGATGTCACCTTGTTTGCGAGCGGCGCGCAAATTATTGGGTTTTATGCAGTTTCACGGATCTGTTAGCGTGTTGACATCTCTTTTTAGCTACATGCATTCGCAAAATCGTTTCACTCGTCTTGGCTCACTCATCACAGACACAGTATACTTAGGTTGTACTGTGCCATAGAGACGCGATCAACCAGAGCGCAATGGTGTACCAAAAAAATAGAGATTAACAAGTATGAAAATAAAAATATTAAAATTAAATTTATATTTTTATGATATTTATTTTAAAATAATGTGTCTTTATAAAATTTAACTGGGTGTTCACTGCACAAATGAACCAATGGAGAAACCGCCCCTGACCAAAAGTATAGCCATATTTTAGGCAGAAACTGGCCGAAAACGTAACCGAAACGGGAATCTTCGGTCTGACACTAACTATATTAATATTTCCCACATTTACATTTTCTGAACAGTAATGTTCAGAAAAAATTGCATTTTAATATATTTATTAAAGTTCAAAAACAATATAGGTAATTAAGGTAAACAAAAAGAACAAAACGGACTCCAAAAAAATTGGTCACTAATTTGTCAGCGGGATCAAAATTTTCGTCACCACTAATTTGGCGTATTTCAACTGCAGTAAATCAGATGCGGACTTAAATCAATATTATTTAATATTATATACCGGCCAATATATAATAAATTAATATTATTTTTGTATATCTTGGACACAACAACTTAGCCACCACCTTGAGATTATTTTTATGAAAATGTTGGTGTTTGGAAAATTGCAATAAATTATTTTTGATATTTCAAATTATGAATATTTTTGTTTTATTTTTCGGATCGACGTGCAATGTGTAATTATAAATGATTCAATGAAGAAAAAAATGTTTACAACAGATTTAAGTAATTCCCACTAATTATGAGATTATTTTGAAGCATCCTAAAAAATAGAAACAACAAAATACAAAAATATTTGTACCTGTAAAGACCTCAGTTCTTATTAAAACTGTTGTAACCTTAAACTTGTGCATTCAGCGGGTGCATACTAAGCCATTTTTTTTACCTTGAATTTCAACCGAATAAAACCAATGTACCCATGCCACCGTTCTTGCAATTCGTCCGTCATTGAAAAGCTATCGGACAAGTTGGTCGCGCATTCGGATAAGACCTACCTGTGGTAGTGCATTGTGCATCACTCAATTTCGTTTCTGAACCCGTGATCGGTGGTAACACGAAGACGCGGGATAATTTAAACAGTACACTTCATTAAATAATATCGAAAAATAATTTAATTTATTTTAAATACGCAACAAGAGGCTAGTGGAAAAACTAGATTTCGTATAGTTTTTTTTTGAATTAAGTGAATTTTAGTTGACCCATTGTGCCCAATAAAGAAACGCTACAGGATGACCATGTCAGGTAAATATTTTATTACAATTAATTATTAATATTGTGGATTTAATTTTTTAATTTTTTGTTTTTACAATTTTTTTACCCAATAAATCAATGCAAAAGTGAAACTAAAATGAAGATATATAATGCTTGGTATTCTATATAATACTCTTCATAGTTAAACAAACCACATTTTAACCCCTCATTTTTATTCAATTTTATTAAAAATCAATAAGCTTTGTCCCACTTTAAAGCTTGATTTTCAAGTTGATATTGTTTTTAGTTTTTGTTTTATGATTTTTTAAAGTTTTAACCCCCCTTAGCCTCTCCATTTTTAATAAGATTTCTTTTTAAATCAATAGGCTTCGTCCCATTGCATAGCTTGATTTTTTCTAAAAATTTAAAGTTGATATTATTTTTCGTTTTGATTTATAAATTATTTTAAATTTTAACCTCCTTAACCCCCCATTTTTATTCAGATTTTTTTTAAAAATGAATAGGCTTCGTTTAATTGTAAAACTTGATTTTTCCTAAAAATATCAAGTTGATATTGTTTATCGTTTTTATTTTATGATTTTCAATCCCCTTTAATCCAGCCATTATTTATCAGATTTTTTTCAAAATCAATAGACCTTGTCCTCTTATAGAGATTGATATGTCCTTAAAATTTCAAGTTGATTTTGTTTTTCGTTTTTTTTTTTTTAATTTTAACCCTCCATTTGTAACAAGATTTTTTCAAAATCAATAAGCTTCGTCCCCATACAGGGATTTATTTTTCCTGAACATTTTAATTCATATCATTTTATGAAAATGATTTTGGTACAAAAATGTTTAAATTTGGATGATAATTAAAAATTTTGGTTTTTTGAAAGTAAACCAATAATACTCTTCACATACTATTGCGTGAAGAGTATAATAAATAGTAACATAATTTTATCAATGAGACATTATTGACTTATTATAATAATAAAAACATTTTTGTAAATTTCAAAAATTGGATTTGTTTTATAGGGTTGCAGCTTTTACAATGAACTCAAATTTTGTTGGTTATTAATAGAGTTAATTTTTTAGAAAATTATATTTAAGAGGAGTATTTACTTGGCTGTAGAGCGGAGCATGCAAGGGTTTCGTAGTACCCCCACTTTTAAAGTTTATTTTTGCCTTATTCTGAAAGAAAAAAATATGTACGTGTAGGTAAAGGATAAATCTATGCTCCTCTGGAGACACTTTTTTAAAATTTGAAACTGTATTTTCTAAAAAAAAATACAAAACTCGACTTTATTTACTCGTTTTCTCTTTTTTTTTTAGAAAAAACTAAATTGAATTTTGAAAAAGTGTCTCCAGAGGAGCATAGATTTAACCTTTACCTACATGTACATATTTTTTTCTTTCAGAAAAAGTCAAAAATAAACTTTAAAAGTGGGGGTACTACGAAACCCTTACATGGCAAGATTTTTCGTCTGGAAAGTGGCGCCTCTGTTAGATTTTTAAGAAATTAATATTTTAGAATGAAAACAATTTATAATATATTTTACTGATGTTTTACGAGGGATGAATAAATTTTACGTATATGTACACTAGACTGGGCCAAAAAAATAACAATTTTTTTTTTTTGAAAGATATATCGAGAATATCATTCAGAATGATGAAAAAAAAAATTCCTAAAAATTTGAGCCCTTAATATTAATTTTAAGAGGTCTATCATCGCTATTTTGATTTTTAGTCATAATTTGATGTTTTACGTTAGAACTGTCAAAACATTAAGGTGAAAAAAAATCCGTTTTACTTATTCATATGTAAAATTAACTTCTCTACAAAAAAGGCCCTATTAAAATTTTTGTCAGACGAGCCGTTTTCGAGTAATTTCGTAACTAATGAATCAATGCATATTTAAAAAAGCCCACGTCGGATTCTTAAAGGAAAATTAATGTTCTACAAAAAAGGTCTCTTAATATTTTTGCCTAAATTTAATTCTTCAAAAGTTATTTATTAGTTACGAAATTACTTGGAAACAGCTCGTCTGACGAAAATTTTCAATCAGACCATTTTCGTAGAGAATTTAATTTTATATCAGAATAAGTGAAAAGGAATTTTTTTCACTTTAATGTTTTGACAGTTCTAACGTAAAACATCAAATTATGACAAAAAATCAAAAATAGCGATGATAGACCTCTTAAAATTAATATTAAGGGCTCAAATTTTCACGAAACTTTTTTTTATCATTCTGAATGATATTCTCGATATATCTTTCAAAAAAAAAAAATAGTTATTTTTTTGGCCCAGTCTCATGTACACCTTATTTTTTACGTAATTTATTTCTTTAATACTAAGATTGGTATATATATTATACGCAAGGGTTTCATAGTACACCAATTTTACGGATTATTTTTTAATTTTACTAAAAGAAATTTTATGTAAGTACAGGTAAAGGCTTAGCCCATACCTCTCTGGAGTCACTTTAAAAATATGAATTAGTCTCTTTTGAAAAATATCTAAGAAAAGAAATAGAAATGTTAAAAAATGCTAGAAGAGAACAATATATTTAATTTTTGCCTACAGAAGCATTTATTTTTATTACAATAAAAATAGAAATACGTTAAAAGCTTTTTCGTCTAGATGGTGACACCAACAAAATATATATCTTTTTCTACTATTTAGTGATAAACAGTACGTAAGTGATTTGAATTCATGATGTTATTGTTTACATACAGTAATTTTATCATTTATTTATTAAAAAAATATATACTCGAAATTGGAAGGTATGCACTGAGATGTGAATTATAAATATGTTTTTGTTTAATGAATACCTCTTCGAGTTAACAATAATTATTAATTCCAGCATGTTAATATCTCTTCAATCCGTTAAAGTAATGTAAATATTTTTTCTTGCTTTCGCGCATGGCTTTGATCTGTCGCACCCTTTGAAGCGCGTTGCAAGAGAAAATTTTCTAAAAAGTTAGCCAATTTCTATAAATGAGGAAAGATTTTGACAAGCTGATTGTGCATTGTGGCAAAATAAAAGACAAGTCACTGCTTTAAAATTTGGAGAAATTTGTAAAAAATTTCCTAAAATCTTTTATTTATTTGTAAAGCCACCCGATATGGCGTGACCATAAATTCAGAGCAAAATAAAATATGGAAAATTATTTGCAAGTAAAAGTTTTTAAATGTGGACATTTTATTGAATTAGAATTTGATTATGTTGCTGCCAGTCTGGAGGGAATTAAAAAAAAAACAAAACTATGATAGAGTTAAAATGTCCATATGGAGCTGAATGCTAACTGTAAAAAGGACAATACCATTAAGGAGAACTACTATTGGTATTTTCAAATTCAGGGCTAGCTGCACATAACACAAATGGATTTTTGCATTTTGTGCTTTTGGACTTCTGGAGGAATAAAAGTGGAAAAAAATATCTCATAATGACAGCTTTTGGGAAGAAAAGATACAAAATAATTCGTAAGAAATTTTGTTTAATGTTTATTAACATAACGCAAAGAATCTTAAATTATTTTGAATATTTTTATTAATTTAAGAATTACATTTTATTTATTTCTAAAACATGGTAGTAGGCGATCCATTTAATTAATGTCTTATTATTATAGAACACTATTTTAAATTTACCAGTGGCAGTGGTAATTGATATATAATTATTATTATTATACCAAATGTTTTAAAAGGCTACACCAACTAGTGGACCACGCTTTTAAGTCCCCAAATAATAGTTTCAAGATTTTGATTCGGATTAGAAATTTTATGTCAAAGCCAAGTCATGTATTGATATTGTAATACGTAGATGAGTAACTATCATCAATAGAAATTGAAAATTCACACATGAATCTTTGTAACGACGTTATTTATAACTTTATTAACTTCATAATGGTCAAAAATTTTAGTGAACTTATTTTATTTTAAATATAAATTTTCATTTTAACTTAGAAATTTTCGAAAAGTTTACTATATTGTTTAGTTGTTGCAACTTTACTGCGCTTAAGTTGCGTTCAGATTAAAATATGAATTGATTTATGTAGCTTAACTGAAAAACAGGAACTAATGCTTTCATTCCAAAAAAAGTATTATGTTCTATAAACAGAATTTCGAACTGTGATATCTGCAAGTCCTTATGATTATACAAGAGTTATCTTTACAAATTGATAGAAATATCGAACAAAAGTTTATTGATATAAACATTATTTCCATAATACTAATAAATATATCTCTATATAAATATACTCATAATTTATTTAATATATTCATTTAAACATGTTTTTGTTTTTTGTCTGGATGATATTCAATACTAACTTTTTCTTTGTAACTTCGTTTACCCGAGACATTGTGAGATAAAAAAAACAGAAAATTAATTAAAAGCATACTTACAATTTTTCAGGTATAGAATTTTCAATGCTATACTGTTTCCCAAATTATGAAAATACTAAAGAATATTTAAAAAAAAAAAAATAACAAAAAGCCAATTAAAGAATGTGTTAATACCTACAAAAGAACATCGTATTTCTTTTTTGGAAACAAAGAGTAGTCGAAAATTGTGAAAATAACATATTTTTATTACACAAAAATAATAAGTCCGTTTTTGTTTTTTTTTTTATGTAAATCATATCAGAAGAAAAGTCACCGAATACCGATTTCAGAAAGGTCTATTAGTTTTTATAGGAAATGGAAAGAGAAAAAACGCTCTTTAATCAAGTTAAAATTCTTTACTAATTTCGCTGTTTCTCTTCGACGATGTCCGGTCTTCGTCTCGTTTAAAATCGATAACTATAAACAAATTAAGGTATTTTGTACCGTGTTAAAAAATTTAAGAAAATTTTTTCTTTTTTAAAAAAAAATAGTAAACTTTGACAAATATATACAATATTCTAAAAGATAAATCACATTTATGTGATTATACAAAAATTTTATTTATTTTTCTAAAATAATATGGATTGTCCTTTAAAATATATATAGTGGCTCGCAAAAAGTCTGCTTTTCATATGTTACTTTTTTCAGAAAGTGTTATTCCTGATAAAACT